TATTTACCGAAAATCATATGGACATTTGATTTCAATTGCCAGTTTGTCACTTACTTTAGCAGAATATAATTTATGCCTTTACATAAATTATTCATATATTTCTATATATTATGCATTACCTTGTAGGGGCGAGTAACCCCCCCTCTCCCCCCTTTTTGGATCCGCGACTGGTAGACTCAAATAAAACCAGTGAAATTGCGCGCGTATTGGAATTAAACAAAAAATGATAATCACTCTCGTATACTTTATTCTCTTTTATTCACAATTTATTCAAAATTTAACCATTCATTTCCATTAATCTCTCCATTAATAAAAATCAGTTCAACATTCCCTCCCCCATGAACACCTTCCCCTTATATCCCAAAGCTTTAAATGTATCTAAAAAAAAAAAAACAGCATCAGTGTGACTGCTCTGTGCTTCTAACAAGCTACTTGGTGTTCACCCGTTAACAGTAACGCGTTAAACTCACTGCCCCGGAGAAAGTAACAGCTGGTTTATATGTTGCATGCCCACTTACTCCATAAGGACTGGGATCTTTTTTCTCTTTTCCGAGACTGAACTCACCAATTCCCTACTAATACTAACATTAACACCAGGTTCAACAGGTTGAAACGGGTTATCTGACTTCCCCCCAGAAACACGGCACCACGCCCAAGCCCCCGAAGCCAACCAAGCTAGATCAGGAAGAACAAGCTAAACTTGCCAAGTCTGGCTTGGATATGAAGCTCATGGCCTCCGAGGTAAAGGGATCCGGGTTGATGTGTATTTGGTTGTTGTTGATGTTGTTTTGTTCTTATATTGAAACGGGTACGATCGTTTTTTCGGCAGGTTTCATTTCATGACCGCAACGTAGTATCCGTTTTGCCGGACCAACGAAGGTCGTATAACAATAATTTTCCTTTGGCAGTGTGGTGGTTGTACGGTATAACTTCTAGTAATTTCAATAAGTAGCTTTTAAAGTTGCACCCTTTTAAGTTTTTTTTATTTGTAACTGACAAGACGTAATTGATTATGATTTGTACATTATTGGTTGCAACACATATTTAAATTAGCCATCGATTTTTTTCTAGAATATCAGAATATCTCACGGGATTTTCAGAATTCAAGTGCCCGATTTTAATTCATTTCGGATTTCTAAATGCCAGGCCATCAGTTATTGAAAAATCGATGCTGTACCTGTATTGGTTTGACTTGTTTCTGCTATATGTTATAACTGGATTTAAAGCTTTTTGAACATATTGAGATTATATATTTAAATGATTTGCATGTGGTAGAAGTTATTTCATATATATGGACATATACTTTTTTTTGTACTTCTTGTTATAATTACAGCTCGTGTACTCTTTAGGTAGGTGAGATTAATTACTTATTTCAAAGGTTTTGGATATGATACTCATTTGTTTGTCTTTTTACTCTCCTTTGTCATCTTCGCCTTCGCCTTCTCCCCTCCTTCTTCCACGTCTTACTTCCCTCGTTTATTTTTCCCCTCCCTCCTCCCACCCCTATTCACTTCCTCTTTCCATCTCGCACTCACTCACTCCTTCACTCCTTTCCATCCTTCCTTTTCTCTTTTCTCACCCTCCCTCCCTTTCTTCTAATTCCCACTATTCCACCCTTCCACCACCTCCCCCCCTCATCTCTCCCTTCTACCATTCCACCCCTCCACCACCTCCCCACATTACCCCTTCTCTCCCACCTCCCACCCCATCCACCATCCTTCCTCCATTTCCCTCCACCTCTCCCCCATCCACCAACCCTCCTCCATTTCCCTCCACCTCTCCCCCATCCACCTTACCCACCCCACCCACCCCATTCATCCACCTCCCACCTCACCCTCCCCCCCATTCATCCACCTCCCACCTCCCATCCACAACCCCTCCCACCTCCCCCTCCCCCCCATTCATCCACCTCCCACCTCCCATCCACAACCCCTCCCATCTCCCCCTCCACCCCATTCATCTACAACCCCTCCCAACCTCCCACCTTCCCCTCCACCACCATTCATCCACAACCTCTTCCACCTCCCACCCCCATCCACCTCCCCCACCCCCCCATCCACCTTACCCCTCCACCACCTCCCACCCCATCCCACCCACCCACCTACCCCCCTCCACCTCCACCCCATCCACCCAAAACCAGGTGGACCAAGAGACGGAGAAGTGGGAGGAGCGCATCACCCAGGACGAGGACAACGACATCGTGAAGCGAGCCAAGAACATGTCATCGATGGCCTTCTCCATGTACCAGTTCACGCGGGGGGAGGGGGCGCTGAAGACCACGCAGGATCTCTTCACGCAGGGGGAGTACTTCGCCGAGGAGGCCAACAGACTCTACAAAGTCGTTAGACAGTTCTCCTATCAGGTGAGTGAGGGGGGGGAGGGGAGAGTTGTCTGTCTTTGTAATGGTTGTTATTAGTGTTAGTAATGTTATTATTATCATAATTATTTGTTAATGTTGTTTTGTTGTTATTATTATTATGAATGTTTTTAATATATATTA